TCAGCAGGGAATCAAATACTTATTTCCTTCACTGTGTGTGTGTGTGTGTGTGTGTGTGTGTGTGTGTGTGTGTGTGTGTTGTGTGCTTTGCAGCAGCACTTTACATTATAGTGGGAGACAATACAGGAGGGATTTGAGGGCCCTGCTCCTTGGAGCTTACAATCTAGGAGGGAGGGGTTAGTGGTACAAAAGGTAATAACTGTGGGTGATGGAATGGTTGCAAGAGTAGAGGATTCCAGTATTAGAGGGCGGGATAGGTTTCCCTGAATATGTTTTTTTAACTTTTTTTTACAATAGTAATGGTGGTGATCAGTGACTTATTGTGGGACTATGATAGTGTGGCAGGTAATTTGACACTAAATGACACTGGGTGGGTACTGTCACTGACATCTCCAGTGATAGTACTATACACTCACTGAACTAATGACACTGGCTGAATAGGGGTTAACATCTACAGGTAAACTCAAAATTAGTAGATCGTGCAAAAGTTCATTTATTTCAGTAATGCAACTTAAAAGGTGAAACTAATGAGATACTCATTACATGCAAAGCAAGATAGTTTAAGTGTAATATTCTAGGCTCAAAGTGTCCCACTCTAATCAGCTAATTAAGCCATAATACCTGCAAAGCGTTTCTGAGCCTTTAAATGGTCTGTCTGGTTCAGTAGGAATTGCAATCATGGGAAAGACTGACCTGACAGTTGTGCAGAAAACATCATGACACCCTCCATAAGGAGGGAAAGCCTCAAAAGGTAATTGCAAAAGAAGTTGGATGTTCCCAAATTTGCTGTATCAAAGCACATCAATAGAAAGCTATGTGAAAGGGAAAAGTGTGGAAGAAAAAGGTGCACAAGCAGCAGGGTTGACCGCAGCCTGGAGAGGATTGTCAGGAAAAGGCCATTCCGAAGTGTTGGGGACTTTCACAAGGAGTGGACTGAGGCTGGAGTCAGTGCATCAAGAGCCACCACACACAAACTGATCCTGGACATTTGTTTCAAATGTCGTATTCCTCTTGTCATGCTGCTCCTAAACAACAAACAACGTCGGAAGCATCTTACCTGGGCTAAAGAAAAACAGACCTGGTCTGTTGCTCAGTGGTCCAAAGTCCTCTTTTTCTGATGAGAGCAACTTTTGCATCTCATTTGGAAACCAAGGACCCAGAGTATGGAGGAAGAATGCTTGAAGTCCAGTGTGAAGTTTCCGCAGTCTGGTGTTGATTTGGGGAGCCATGTCTTCTGCTGGTGTTGGTCCACTGTGCTTCATTAAGTCAAGGGTCACCGCAGCCGTCTACCAGGAGATTTTGGAGCACTTCATGCTTCCTACCTCAGACAAGCTTTATGGGGATGCTGACTTCATTTTCCAGCAGGACTTGGCACCTGCCCACAATGCCAAAAACACCAAAACCTGGTTCAATGAACGTGGGTTTTACTGTGCTTGATTGGCCAGCAAACTCGCCGGACCTGAACCCCATAGAGAATCTATGGGGCATTGCCGAGAGACATGAGACCGAACAATGCAGCAGAGCTGTGAAGGCTGCTATAGAAGCATCCTGGTCTTCCAGAACACCTCAGCAGTGCCACAAGCTGATGGCTTCCGTGCCACGCACATTGAGGCAGTAATTTCTGCAAAAGGGGCCCAAACCAAGTACTGAGTACATATGCATGCTTATACTTTTCAGAGGTCTGATATTGTTCTATGTACAATCCTTGTTTTATTGATTGCATGTTAATCTAATTTTCTGAGATTGTGGATTTGGGGTTTTCATGATGTTTAGAGACCCCTGATGTAGACTATCAAATATATTCCATCTTGCCTTGCTTGAACGCAGCAATATTGCATTTTTGGCATGTTGTGAATATTTGCAGTATAATGCTATTTCACATATACCCCACCCTACATTCCTCATACTGAAGCTCCCCCCAACACTCCGCACCTTTGACCTTACTACATCGAGGAAGTCTCCAAGATCCTCTCTGATGCCCGCCTCACCACCTGCCCCCTCGACCCTATCCCCTGACAACTCCTACGACCTGCCTCCCCCTCCATCCTACGCTCCCTCACCCACATCTTCAATCTCTCCCTCTCCTTCGGCACTTTCCCCTCCCCTCTGAAACATGCACACATCACCCCCATACTTAAAAAGCCCTCCCTGGACCCCAATGACCCGAACAACCTCAGACCCATCTCCCTGCTCCCATTTACATCTAAACTCCTCGAACGCCTAGTCTACACCCGCCTATGCTCTCACCTCAACGACAACAACCTCCTCGATCCCCTACAGTTCGGCTTCCGTCCCCTACACTCCACCGAAACTGCCTTACTCAAACTCTCCAACGACCTGCTAACCGCCAAAGCTAATGGCCACTATTCAGTGCTCCTACTCCTTGACCTCTCTGCGGCCTTCGACACAGTCGACCACCCCCTCCTCCTCAAACTACACTCCCTCGGCCTCAGAGACTCTGCTCTCTCCTGGCTCTCATCCTACCTGTCACAACGCTCCTTCAGCGTTACCTATAATGCTACCACCACCCCTCTCTGTTGGGGTCCCTCAAGGCTCTGTCCTCGGGCCCCTTCTCTTCTCCATCTACACCTCCTCCCTTGTCCAACTCATACACTCTCACGGCTTCAACTACCACCTCTATGCCGACGACACACAAATCTATCTCTCAACCCCCCACCTCACCCCCTTGGTCTCAGCCCGAATCACACACCTGCTGAGCGACATATCAGACTGGATGTCGCTCCGCTTTCTTAAACTGAACCTCTCCAAAACAGAGTTTCTTGTCTTCCCCCCAGCCCGGACACCACCCCCCATTGACTTCTCTATCACGTAGAACAACGCTACCATCAAACCCGCCCTGCAGGCCAGAGTACTTGGTGTCATTCTGGACTCCAACCTATCCTTTCAGCCCCAAGTCCAATCTTTAACAAACTCGTGTAGACTCCACCTCCGCAACATCGCCAAAATACGCATGTTCCTAACCCCAGAAAACACTAAACAGCTCATCCACTCCATCATATCACGACTCGACTACTGCAACTCCCTCCTCACTGGCCTGCCTCGCCGCTGGCTATTCCTGCTTCAGTCGATCCTGAATACGGCTGCCAGACTCATTCACCTTTCCAACCGCTCTGTCTCCGCCACCCCCCTCTGCCAATCCCTCCACTGGCTTCCGATTGCGCAACGGATCAAATTCAAAATCCTAACCCTGACGTACAAAGCTGTCCACCATACTGCCCCAAACTACATCACTGACCTAATATCCAAGTACCGCCCAGCACGCACACTCCGCTCCTCACAAGACCTCCTTCTCTCTAGTTCCCTGGTCTCCTCCTCCCATGCCCGCCTCCAGGACTTCTCCAGGGTGTCACCCATCCTCTGGAACTCCCTGCCCCAACCCATCAGATTATCACCTACTCTCCTCTCCTTTTAGGCGCACCCTGAAAACCCATCTCTTCAGGGAAGCCTACCCCGCCCCCTGCTAACTTGCCGACCTCCTCCACTCTTCCAACCACTCCATCCCCCACAGCTATCTCCTCCTGTGCCACCATCCCCTTCCTCCTAGATTGTAAGCTCGAAAGAGCTGGGCCCTTAATCCCCTCATGTTTTGCATTGTATTGGTATTGTTCTATCACATGTTCTGTCCCCCTCTGTAATGTACAGCGCTGAGCGAACTATTGGCGCTTTATAAATACTGTATAATAATAATAATGTAAGATTATTTTTATGGGTCCCCCACTAGAGTTTGTGGAAGACTGGACTGGGTGGTTTGAAGCGTCGTTTTAACCACTTCAGCTCCAGGTCATTTCTGCCACTTATTTTCTACAAAAAATGCAGATTTTAACATGTAAAAAATGTCTTCGAACCCTCCAAACCTTTTTTAAAAAAAAAAAAAAAAATAAAAATCTATAAAGCAGAAGCCCGAGAGAATAAATTGGTGGTTTTTGCATTTTTTAATGTCACACGGTATTTTTTTTTTTTTTTTTTTTTTATTTGTTCAAACTGTTTTTTGGAAGAAATATGCTTTTTAAAAAAAAAAATTTGTGCAAAAAAAAAACAAAATACATTACCCAGTAATTTTAGTAAAATATAAGAGGATGTGTTACACCCAGTAAATAGATACCAGACATTTAATGCCGTAAAATTGTGCACGACCCTGCAACGTTGGCAAACGATGTAAATTTTTTGCTTTTCGTAGGTAACACTTTAAAATCCTTTACAGGTTACCACTTTAAATTTATAGAGGAGGTTTATTACTAGAGTTTTACTATCCTTGATCTGACGTTTTCAGAGATACCTCACGTTTGGGACAATCGCTGTTTGTGTGTGTGCAGGACTGATGCATTAGGGTTCGCATTTGGATAGGGGTGCTTTAATTTTTTTTTTTTTCCCTCTTTACATTTTTTGTGACTGCAATAAAAGTGCTAACATCCCTTGTGACCGTAATAGACACATGACAGGTATTCCTTTATGGAGGGATTTGGGGTCTTAATAGATCTCAAAACTCTTCTCTGCACTTGAAAGCATTCAACACACCAAGAGCGGTATTTCTGAATGCTTTCAGTTTTTCAAAAATGGCTCAGATAGCTCCGAGTAAACTGGAAGTGATGTCTGATAGTTTTCTGCTTAATATAATTGAGAGCTGATCCTGGCTTTGGTCCGTTCATCCACACAGTGTACGTGCCGGATGGTCGCTCGGGTCTCTCAGTGGGATGGGAAATCCTGGGAGGGTGGGGGGTTGATTTCTTCCCTTCCCGCTGCTAGCACAAACAATTGATTGTCTAGTTAGCCGCTCTGATTGCTTATACAAAAGAGCGGACCTCCAACTCTAAAACAAAAAAATCCCCGAAACAAAAAATACCGGTTATGTCGCTGATCCGTTTGTTTGGTAATGGCAAGTTGCAGATTTAATGAATGATTCACTTTGTTGTGTTTTATAATGCTTATTTGTTACTTTTTGTATCAGACAGTTGAAATCTTATTTTATTATCTTTTTATAGGTAAAAGTCCTGGACAAATGGTAGTAATAGATCAGACTAAAGGAGATCAACAATACATGAGGCCACAGATGAGAAGAGGCCGTTTTGATAAGGTAAGCCATTACCTCATCTCTTGTCTACCTTTTTGACTTGCTTTGCTGTGTCAGAACATTCCCACTTTTGTTAAATATGTTGGATGTTTCACATTCCACCCAAATACCCAGTTCCCCATCTCCACACTATTCAGGCTGTCCTGATTTATCTCAGATCTTGAACTTCACAGCACACCTGACCACTTCCGTTATTTCTTGGGAGGTTTAAACCAGATTATAGCTTCTAAAACCCATTGAAAGATAACACAGCCATGGTTTTTGATTTGGAAGACCGTTTAACCACCTGCGGACCACCTTAAGTACATTTACTTACTGTTCCAAGTTAGGGGCATGCAGAGCGCTGCTCCTGTGACTGTAATCCGCTATCTGAGGTGGACACCGCAATTACCAATAACCAGTTATGTGATTGGTCATATTGCCTATACAGTCATGATCACTATAAAAGCAATAGTTTTCGCAGTCATAAATGGTTTTCCCTTCATGAACAGTTTGCTTACAGTTGTGATCTGTGATTGGCCCACAGCAATCACATGGTTCCTAGCTGTAGCCAGTCACAAAATCACAACCATAAGCAAGCTGATCATGAATGTTAACCTTTCATGACCATTTAAACTATTGCTTTTATAGTGATCATCGTTGTATAGGCAAAAACCGTGTAAAGGGGGGAAAAAAAAAACCCTGCTCAATCCCCAAAAGTAGTACCAGTATCGGTATATGAGCTACTCTGATGACAGGGACGTGCCAAAAAATAGTAAAAAAATAAAATTGAATCAAAAGTTGTTTTTTTTTTTTTTTTTTTTTTTTTCTGCATACTATCACCAGTCAGTATCCCTGATCACCGCCACACCTGTCATATAAGGCTGTACTGAACTGGTGACAGTCTATATGGAAAAACAGTGTTTTTTGTTGTGTGTTTGTGTTTTTTTTTTTTTTATTTAAGTTTACAAAAAACATTTTTGACAAAAATGGTAATTTGAACAAAACCATGCTTCTTGCTAAATATCTTTTTAGACTGTCTGCTTTCCAAAAATGGGTTGTGGGGTATGTGTACTGTCCTGCTATTTTGGGGCCTCAAGAAATGAGGCCTTTACTATATATGGAGTGATAGATAAAATAATTGAGCGTGTCACTATTTTTCTAGGTAATTATATTTCTAAAGGTGCTAATGACATGAAATTTTCACCACGTTGGTAACAACCCATGCAATCTATACATACAAAAAAGCCAAAATAAATTTGTTCAGAAATTTAAGTTGTGTAATAAAATGACACAGGGAAAAAGGAGGTGCAAAAAGGTGAAGGGCCAGTTTACTGTCCCTCAGACTTTAGGGGTGCTGAACTTTGGCTATTGGGAGTAGAAAAGGTCCTGATATCAGAGGGAATGGACAATGCCCCATCTTTGGTGTCAGTGGGAGCAAACATGCCCATCATTGGTGTCATTGCGAGGTTATTGTGACCCATCATTACTGCCCTATTGTTCATGTCATTGGGAGGAATTGTCCCCATTAGTATTGTCATTGGGTGCTATCATTGATGTAATTGAGACATATTGTGCCCCTTCATTGGTGTCAGTAGGGGGAATTCTGTCCTATTGTTGGTATCGGTGGATGAAATAGTACTCCAAGGGCCGGATAAATGTTAGCAAAGGGCTGCATCCAGCCCTTGGGCCACAGTTTGAAGAGCACTGGCCTAGACAAAGGTGTCTCATTATCAAGGTCTCACACAAGAAACATCTCTTAATTGGTAAAAGCAAAGAGCTGTCAAGACCTTCACCACCTTATTGTTGCAAAACATACTGATGGCATTAGGTACAAAAGGTTTTCTAAACTTCTGAATATTCCAGTGAGCACTGTAGGGGCTTTAATCCGGAAGTGGAAAGAACATCATTTTGCCATATACCGATCACGACCAGGTGCTCCTCGCAAGATTTCTGACAGAGGAGAAATAAGCATTATCAGAAGAGTTGTCCAAGAGCCAGACCACTGGTGGAGGGTTTCAGAAAGGCCCGGAATTAGCAGGTACAATTGTTTCAAAGAAAACAAGTAATGCAGTCAACTGCCATGGCCTGTATGCACACTCACCATGAAAGACTCCATTGCTGAACAAAAAATGTTGAAGCGCGTTTAAAGTTTGCTGTACAACATTTATATAAGCTTGTGAAATACTGGGAGAATTGCCTGGTCAGTTGAGACCAAAATTGGTCTCTTTTTAGATGCCATAATACACACCATGTTTGGAGGCCTAATGGCACTGTAAATCACCCCAAAAACACCATACCAACAGTGAAGTTTGGAGGTGGGAACATCATGGTGTGGGGCTATTTTTCAGCATATGGTACTGGCAAACTTCTTATCATTGAAGGAAGGATGAATGGAAAAATGTACCAAGACATTCTTGATAAAAATCTGCTGCCATCTACCAGGATGATGAAGATAAAACGAGGGTGGACATTTCAGAAATACAAATACAAAGCCAAAGAAACTCTCAATTGGTTCAAAGAAAATAAAGCTGCTAGATTGGCCCAGCAAATCACCTGACTTGAATGCAATAGAAAATCTATGGAAAGAACTAAAGATCTGAGGTCATAGAAGAGGCCCACGGAACCTTTAAGATTTGAAGACTGTATGGAAGAATGGGCCAAAATCGCACTTGAGCATTGCATGCAACTAGCTTCTCTATACAGAAGGCATCTTGAAGCTGTCATTACCAACAAAGGATTTTGTACAAAGTATTACATTTTCAGTTTGTTCAATACTTTTTCCCTGTGTCATTCCATTTTATTACATATAATTTCTAAACTTATTTGTTTTTGTTTCCTTCCATGTATAGATTTCATGGGTTGTTAACGTGGTGAAAAATTCATGTCAATAACACCTTAATGTCCCTTTCAGATGGGGTAGACCTGTCAGTGGATCCGCCTGCCCGGCGGGGGATCTCTTCACTGATCCCTGCTGAACAGGCGGATGATAGGTCTGTCTGCTTTGCTGGTGCAGAGTGAACAGACGCTGCCCGCTGTCTTCTATTGGGTGTTTGGATGGAAATGGACCACCTGTCCATTTCCATCTGACTGCCATCTGATCCGATCCACCAGACAGATGGGGAACAGATCGTACAGGATCGGATGCCGGTGGTTGTCAGCGGACACTTGTCCACTGATACCTTCTGGTCCATAGAGGTGTATGGATGGTCCAATCGGGTCCGCCTGAAAGAGGTCTTAGAAATATATTTACTGAGAAAAGTGGTGACGTGTTCAATAGTGTGTATACTACCAAAGGAAAGCACTATTTTTGTGGAAGGAAAAAATAAATTTAATTTGTGTACAGTGTGTATGACTACACAATAGCCAGTTAATGTAGCAGAATGCTGAATATTAAAAAAATAAATTGATAATTTTAATCAAATTGGCTTACCATAGCCTGGTTGTCGCAAGCAAATCTAGGTAGCCTTCAGTCATAAAGATGCGTTAAGAGAAAGCTTATTGTTCCAAGTACCATAGTTAGTGTTACTAACCCCAGGACCCTTCATTCACTATATCCGGTCTCCCACGGTACACAACTATTTTAGTAAATATAAAGTGCTAAATACCTTTTCTCATCAGCAGTTAGAGCAGTCTTGTGACTTCTATCAGTGTCCGACGGAGCAATGGTTAATCTTGTAGGAGTTTTTCATTTTCCTCTTGACTTGTCCTATGAGGCTGCATGACTGCTGATCTTCTGGACAGTGCTGATTGGCCCTGTGCCAATCACATGCACCCTCCCAAATGAAATAAAAACTTTAGCAATACACACCAAACTGAGCATGTGCAGAGTGCCCCCTAGGGCTCTGTACTATGGCAGATAGATTGGGGACTGGAAAAAGGGGAGGATCAGAGAACACAGGATCAGTCTGTTTTACACAATGCAAAGGATTAACCCCTTAGATTCTATAGTGTTTTACTGCTTTGTAAAACACCTGTCACCTCAAGGACACCTAAAACAATTGCCTGGAGCTTTGCAGCGTGCATCGGTGACATGCAGCATTTTATCTCAGTGCATGGCCTTGCACAGCAAAGCAACACATTTCTGTGCTCTGTCGTGCCGTGAATAAAGTATGTTTTGTACTCTTTAGATGGGTTTAACCAGGGAAAAAAATACAGGAAAAGGAGCAGTGTGATGTGTTGAATTGCTCTCTGGCTGCTGACTGCTGTAGTGTAATTCGAGTCTCTCGGGTTAGTTGACTTTGTTTTAAAGATCCACTTTACTGGGTAGTTAATTTTTGCTTCTGCTAAAATCATGGAAATGTTTGCAACATTTTTGTTTTACTGGGTTGTTCTCCTGTTAGTTCACCAGTCCATCTAGTTGTGGGGAAAAGGAAAAACTCCAGAACTAGCTCTTTATATAACAAAGCAATACAATAAAAAAAAAAAGCACTGATGACCAGTTTGCTTTAATCCTCAACGAAGCCTGGTGGCTTTGCTATTGGTTACATTTTAAAATACTGTGTGTAGTAGTTATACTGTATGTATTGGCTTTGGGTGTAACTTTAAAGTTTGTTTTAATGTAATTTCTGAAGGATGTACTTAATGATTTGTTTTTAAATCATAGTTGTATGTGTTTTGTTTTTTAGATGAGAAATAGAGAGCGGTTTTTTCAGAACAAAATGAAGTTCAGGGACAAAAAAGACATCTTGACATTTGAAAAAATGAAGGCACAAAGACTCAGAGAAAATGTTGAACGTCTGCAACGATTGCAGAGATACCACAGAGCTGTGGAACTGCGAAGGTAATTTAGATGTTTTTGTATTGAAAGGCTTTTAATGTTTTAATTCAGTATTTGTTTTTAAAGTAGACTTGAACAAAGAAATTGGAGATTTTGGGAACATTATATTAATGTCAGTCGTTTTTAATGCAGCACCCTGAACAATCTAACTTTTTTTTGTGTTAAGTTTTTGCCTTTCAGTTTTGTTGTGTTTTTTTTTTTTTTTTTTTTTTTTTTTTTTTTTTTTTCCATCTGTTTTTTGTTGGGGAGATTTCCCTTTACATATGCCCTGTAACCAAAACTGGAAGTGAGAAAATCCCTCCAAAGTGAAGAAATCCCTGGTTGTTACCAGAGCTGGTTCCCCCTTTGAAAGATTTCCCTTCCTCCTATTTGGGAGACAGCCCAAAATTTTTAAGTTTTGTTTCTTGTATATTCTTGGGATGATGGTAAACAGGACGAATAGAGAGGGTTGGGAGGGTTATTCTCTGTAACTGGTACAGACAGCAATAAAAACCTAATAGAAGAGAGCCAGCACTCAGCCGATTGACCTCAGAATTTTAATGAGTTAATTTTGCACCAACAATGTCCACTTGCATGCCCAAAAAAAGTCGTCTGTGTACACAGAACCTGTGTAGAACGTCCAATCCTGCTGCCAGGATCCCCCCTGTACCAGTACAAGGCAATGCAGCTCTGATTATCCACTTGTCATCCACCTTGTAGCAGGTTTACTGCTGCAGGGCTGATGATCTGTGCAAAATCATGTATATAAATGTGATTTTTGCACTTCCGTTGTAGGGAGCGAGCGCCCGCCACTGGTGCGCTGTTTCTGCTGTGATTTGACACAGCGGAGGTTGATTTAACAGGTGCTGGCCAATGGATGATCGTCGAGAAGAATGACTGGATGCAGCTTTGCCTATCACCAGTGATGTGCTGCATTGCTTTGCAGGGAACGCAATCCAGCATTTCTATTTGTAAAAATAGTACATAGTAAAACACTGGTTAGGCACATATTTAACCCTTTATCTGTGAAGGGGTTAACATCAACAGCAATCAGTGTCATTTAATAGAGTGTCAGTTTTTTTATATTTTTAGCACCTATTACTGTATTAGTGTCACTGGTTCCCACAAAATGTCAGTCATACGTCCACCGCATCTCAGTCCCGCTATAAGTCGCTGAGCGCCACCATTACTTCAATTAAAAAAAAAAAAAAAAATCCGGTATATATACCATAGTTTGTAGACACTATAACTTTTGCGCAAATCTATATTTTTGTTGGGTTTTTTTTTTTTGGTACCTAAAATATGTAGCAGAATGCATTTTGGCATTAATTTATGAAGAAATGTGTTATTTTAAACTTTTTTTTTTTTTTTTTTTGGATATATCTATATCAGTTGGAATTTTTTTTTTCCTCTTTATAGACCAATTTTTTCAAAATTGGTCTATTTTTGTTGCGCAAAAAAATAAACCCAGGGGTGATCAAATACCACCAAAAGAGAGATCTGTTTGTGGGGGGAAATGATCTAAATTTCATTTTTGTACAGTGTTGCATGACCGTGTAATTGTCAGTTAAAGTAACCCAGCACCTTATAGCAAAAAAATGGCCTGGTCAGCAAAGAGGTAAATCTTCCTTGGCTGAAGTGTTTAATGACAGCTGCATTGCTGAGTACACAGAGAAGGTACAGGCAACTGGAGCTGTCAAAAAGTAAAATTCAACAACATTGCTCAGCTGCAAATACAGAAAGATACATCGTAACATATGGTTAATTTGTATCCGATTTATCTACAGTTCAAAGGGATGAATTTTAATCTATGGATTGTCAGTTAAAGCAACCTGACAAGTGTAAAAAGAAAAAATAAATAAATAAAAAGTTTAAATGTTCCTCTGTTTACCCCTTAATAACCCTTCATTTGCTTTATTTAGCCTTAATTATAAGCCCTAAAATAACCAGTTTTCTGCTACTGTTTTTTGCTTGTTTCTCTTTAACGAATATTTTAACTTTGTTTTCGTTTGTTAAAGGTGTTAACCACTTCCAGTCCGGACACTTTCCCCCCTTCCAGTCCGGACACTTTCCCCCCTTCCAGTCCGGACACTTTCCCCCCCTTCCAGTCCGGACACTTTCCCCCCCTTCCAGTCCGGACACTTTCCCCCCCTTCCTGTCCGGACACTTTCCCCCCCTTCCTGTCCGGACACTTTCCCCCCCTTCCTGTCCGGACACTTTCCCCCCTTCCTGTCCGGACACTTTCCCCCCCTTCCTGTCCGGACACTTTCCCCCCCTTCCTGTCCGGACACTTTCCCCCCTTCCAGTCCGGACACTTTCCCCCCCTTCCAGTCCGGACACTTTCCCCCCCTTCCAGTCCCCACTTTCCTTCCAGTCCGGACACTTTCCCCCCCTTCCTGTCCGGACACTTTCCCCCCCTTCCCCGGACACTTTCCCCCCCTTCCCTTCCAGTCCGGACACTTTCCCCCCCTTCCAGTCCGGACACTTTCCCCCCCTTCCTGTCCGGACACTTTCCCCCCTTCCAGTCCGGACACTTTCCCCCCCCCTTCCAGTCCGGACACTTTCCCCCCCTTCCTCCGGACACTTTCCCCCCCTTCCAGTCCGGACACTTTTCCCCCCCTTCCTGTCCGGACACTTTTTCCCCCTTTCCCCCCCCTGTCCGGACACTTTCCCCCCCTTCCAGTCCGGACACTTTTCCCCCCTTCCAGTCCGGACACTTCCTTCCAGTCCGGACACTTTTCCCCCCCGGACACTTTCCCCCCCTTCCAGTCCGGACACTTTTCCCCCCCTCCAGTCCGGACACTTTCCCCCCCTTCCAGTCCGGACACTTTCCCCCCCTTCCTGTCCGGACACTTTTCCCCCCTTCCTGTCCGGACACTTTTCCCCCCCTTCCTGTCCGGACACTTTCCCCCCCTTCCTGACCAGGGCAATTTTCAGCTTTCAGTGCTATCACACTTTGAATGACAATTGCGCGGTCATACAATACTGTACCCATATGAATTTTTTACCATTTTTTTTGAGACAGATAAAGCTTTATTTTGGTGGTATTTATTCACCGCTGGGATTTTTATTTTTTTTACTATGTAAATGAAAAAGTCCAAAAATTTTGAAAAAAGTGTTTTTTTTAATAAAATTTTGCAAATAAATAATATTTCATCATAAATCTTGGCCAAAATTGTTTCTGTTATTTTTTTAGTAAAAAAAAAGAAAAAATCCAAATTAGTTTATAACCAAAAATTATAATTTTTAAACATTTTTTTTTTAAATTTTTATTTTATTTTTTTTATATATTATTTTTTTTTTATTTTAATTTTTTTTTTACATACTGTCACCCTAGCAGTACAGTGTCACCATGGTGACACTGTACTACTTGTGGGGGGTGATGAAGATTTTTTTTTTTTTACACTAATTGCTTTTACACCCATATAGGATGTAAAAGCAATCATTTCTCTTTCTCTCTGTCTGCATTCTTGTCATTGAAAAGTACTGAGTGAGCTGTGATTGGTCACAGCTTGTCACATGGTACAAGGCTGTTGTGAATAGCCCTGTACCATGTGATCTCTGTGATCATGCACAGATTTCACACGTAGTAAACAATGATGTCACAAGTGACATCTTGCTTACTACTTTGCATGTGATCACTGATTCGCCAATCAGTGATCACATGATCGGGACCTCGTACAGAGGTCCCGTCCGATCGGTGTTTCACCAGAGGACACAGCGGGCACCGGAGCGCGGTGCACACTAGGGAGCGCGCACAGCTAGAAAAGGTGGGTGCCGTTTTTATGAACGGCCACCCGCCCCTGGACTGCCACCGCCCTGCCGTTTATAAACAGCAGGCGGACGGCAAGAGGTTAAAATATTCATGAACAAAGAATATTTTTTTCACATGTAACACACTTAATTTTATTTTTAACTTTACAATGCTGTGTACCAGAATCATAAGTTTACTATCGTTTTAAACAGAAAGTACAGAATAAATTGCGCACTGATGTGCAGTAACGTAATTTTTAACCTAGCACTGCTCAAAAAAAAGAGTGAGTTTTGTTTAGTTTCATTATGTTTAATGGTCTAAAGTTTGCAGAAAAATAATCGTTGCATGACAATATTCATGAAGGGAAGCCTTGTTTGTTCTTAAAATATAATCTATATATATTTACTTATATGCTCCATCCAGTCCATAGGTGTGAGGCACGAAGTGGTTAAACAGATATGCAGGGTAAACTATAAAGTGTGTTATGGTTTATTCTGCATATTTGTGCATTACTGTTTTAAAATTACCACATTAAAAGTCGATTGAGTGCTGACTCTCAATTTGTTTCCGGTCTCATCGTTGGCTGTGCATTCCTGATCAAGGAGATGAAAAGGAGTAATGCTAGACAGATTTGTTAAAAAAAACAATGCAAACCGGCATTCTAATTATTACTCTCCCCTCTATCAAAAATAGTCTTTTAGTTATACTTAAAATTCCTTTAGAAAGTTTAGTGATGCACTTTGTGATATGAATGTACTTGGGTACATCTTTACTTGCAGCCTCACCGATGTAAGTTTACAGAGCTCTAAGGCACTGTTGTCTCTGACTGTTGGTCTTGTGAGTTTGGATGATGCTACTGTACTGCTCACTGTTCTACTTGCTGAAGACACTGACAAGGGGTAGCAAAGCCCTGCCTCTACCAAGATGAACAGCCTCACACACAGACACAAAGCAGAACAAAAGGCTTTAGTCACAATGCAGAACAAGTCGCAATCGCTAACCAATCTGACTTTGGTCTACCAGGCCTATTATTCCTTTTGAAAGCCATGTTGTCTTGCAGGCACATAGTTGGGGAGAATGACAACAGGGGTCTCCCAGTTTTTTACCAGGTAGGGAGGTCCCCTGCAGTGGCTCCTATTTTTGGGCAGATTAGTTGTGAATCCCAGCCCTAATCTGGTATCTTTTTACTTTTTCTAGGGCACGATTCTCCTCTGTGTCACCTGGTTAACATAGTTGGTGGTAAGGTTGATTAAATCTGTCATTTAGTTCA